AGGTATTCTCAAAACCCTACTCACATACCAATATTATTCACAATAGGTGAATTTTTTGCTTAATCGAACCCATCATGTATTAGAAAGGCTTTTCTTACTGCAAAATTGCGTCATAGTTAACTTATGTTTAGGCATACACTTGTATATTTTCACATTTCCTTTAGCTCCGACAACCAGGCACCACAAAGCCAGTTTTTCCTCCGACTTTTCCCTCCATCAGCTGTCACCGAGCCCTCAGAACCTGCCACCACAAGGCCTCAACCCCTCACCAGAATCTTCTGAGGCGACTGACTGTCTACATTCTCAACGACTTACATGCCCACAGGCACTTATTGACGAGTACTGTGACCACCCAAACACGGGACGCCCAACCACATTCCCCATTGAAGGGCTGGTATCTTCTTCTTCTTCTTCGGCGGTGTGTCTTGCAGTTGGGAACAGTACGAGTGATCATTATTACGCCGGTGCTGGCATCGTGGACCCAGTTCGTTCGCTCGGTTTACGGTTGGCCAGCGACAATGAAAGAGGCGATATCGAGTCTACTAGTGAGAAGTTGGCAGAAGAACAGCCAAACTGTTCAACCGGACTTGATATTCAAGCTTCAGAAGGAGGCCATTCAGGACCCGAAGCCTCGAGCACAAAAGGGAATATCGAAGCGGATGACGAAGTCGTGGGGGGAAAAGATAAAGTGGACGAGGGTAAAGAGGGCGAAGCATGCTCACGAATATGCAAGTTGGTCAATCATGACAAAGGATCGCCTCTTTCAAAGCCAATGTCTTGGGCTATAAGCGAGCGCAGTTTGCAGGTGCTTGTTTCTTTTGCTCTATTTCTGCAGATCGCTTCACCGCGGCCAGTTTTTCCCTTAGCACATCATGCCAAACCATGGTATGCTAATTTAATGTATTCTTTTGCTTTCCATTCCTTTACGGTGCATTTGGCCTCCTGTTTTATGGACTCACTCACTTATTGCCACCATTATTAATAGTGTTCCAACAGTCGCTCTCATTAGGTCACATAGTTGAGACCACGAACGGGAGTGGTTTGACTACTAATGACATAATTTCTTAATAGCGCAGCCTTGAAAAGTTTTTTCGAGCAAATAGGCTATTTCAGATGGATGGAAAGAATTTTCGTAAGGTCACTTATCTTTCTAACATACGATTTACGGTCAAGGTTTAGTCATTGCCTCGATAGCGAATCATGTCGCGTCTTTTACATGCTCATCTGTCGATGGGTAGGAGCGAAAATAACCATTTATCATTACTATGGTTTCATCTTAAAACTTGAAAATTTCTTTCTTCAGTAAGCGTTTAAAAGTCTTCCATTATCTACATTAAAGTTCATTTTCAACATAATCATCCATATTAAAGTCATCCTTGAGACAGATTCAGTCAAGCCATATATACATCTTCAACGTAGAAATAAATCCTGGTATGCTCATCTTTAAGGTAATTTTCAGTCGTTTTGGATATTTTATATGAAGTACTTTGTTCACCTTTACCCATCTGCATGTCTACTTGGGCATTTACCTGCCGACACTCTTACCATCCCTGAGGAATCTCTTATCGGCCTTAGTTCGTTAATTTAGATATATCTGATCTACTTCAATGACTGCAAAGTTTATACCTAAATGTTTGGAAGAGCAATTACTATCTTCCAGCTAATGGAAGGTCCTGCTAGCCAACTTTTCAAACGAAACAAACTTCACACGAACTTGATACGGAAACCATTTTTCCTAGTCCTTATTGCGGTCACACTTTCGCCGAGTTAATAAATCATCTAGCTCAAAAATTAAACGTTTGATAGAAACTTTAGTCACCTTGGATAGGTGAATTTCCCGCAATCAAATGACTAGGCCCCACGATTTTACATAATTTCACTTAGTATCGCCTCCAAAAAGTTTTACCAATCTCGGATGCATTGGAATTTTGACTTCACCTAGGTCTCATCAGCATCTCATAACAGATCTTCAAGCCTACTAACTACGTTTCTAGTAACTCCGTGCATTACTTTAGCAAAATAGAAGTTTGCCCTATCGATGCACCCAGTATACTTGTCACTTGACTGAGAACTAGCTTACCATTAAAGCAAGTCTGGATGAGGAAACGTTTTAGAGGCTAGCGCTCATTATTATTAACTGACATCGTGAAGCATGCACATTTGATTTGGGGAAAATCAACTATTGGTCCTTGCTTTACTTCAAGTTGCTTAGATTGGCTCAAATTCATACTCATGCTCTACTAATGCTCTTACAACCTAATCAGTCCATGCATTTTGATAGTTGCTGATTTTTGTTTGGTTTGCTTATCTGACTGTTTACGATTACATGAAACATACTCTGGTTCTTATGTAATGTATCGTAAAAGAGTATTTTTATCCATGATCTACTCTAGTCTATACCCTTATTAGACCTTGTTTTTGCCCCAAGCAGGACTCGAGTCCTTGAGCTTAAGTCTGAAGATTAAGTCAATGCAACTACCTCACACGATCGTATGTCAGAGAGTTTGAGGGAGTGTATGAGAGCAAACTTCTCTTGAATTGTCATCCTATTATTTTACTAACTTAAGCTAACTATGGATCAAAGTATTCTTCTTGGACATCTAAACAGTCATTCTCTTAAAAGCACCAAACCCCAATATTTTGGCCTCCTGTAGACTCTTTAAATTATCTTTTGTATTGACATCAAACGGGAGTATTAATAGGGAAACATTCCCGCCCTATAGATACTTTATATCAATGGCTGTACTTACCATAATGACTAGATTTTTCGTTTTGAAGGGCAGGTTGTCTGCAAGGAGGTTTGTGAATTTGCCTTATCGGAAATAAAAGAAAGATTGCCTTAGACTGAAGTACATTGCACTGGGCGAAGCAGTCTCCTATTCACCTACCTGAAGATGTGTTACATGACATGGCACGGATTCATCTGGGTTGCATGATGGTGTGTCAATGACTTCTTCGTAAAAGCCAACGGTCAAAACTCCAGCTTCCTGAAGTCTCCCATTCGACAAAATCAACTTGTGAGAATATGCTTGAGCTGAGCTTTCGTCTGTTATGTGACAGACATCTTCAGATCGAAAAACCGTAGCTTACGAAGAAAAGCACCAAAACGCCACACTAAGTTAAGGTGGCTGACTATAGTAATTCTCACTTCTTGTACATAATTTTGTGATCTTAGTATTGCATCCTATGGTTTTATGAGTTGCTTCATGCTTAATCTACACGTGTTTAGGTGGGTGAGCTTGATACATTAAATAGACAATAAGTCACGGACTTTTTCACAAAATCTAACATTCTCGACTCTGAGACAATCTTCAATAGGTTTCCCCTCAAACCAACATTTCCCTTGAAGTAAAAAGTCAGATCACATTAAATAGTAAAGGAATTATTTGAAAATTTGCTTTTATTCATATTTACTCACTACTTTCGCGCTGAAATTAACTATCATTAAACCGTGAAAGGCTAACGGAAGCCGTTTAAAGTTAGGATGTTTACACATTAATTTATCTCGCTTCACATCAGAATTGTCTTAGCTTCTTTGGTCTCTTTTAGGTCCGCAAATTCACGTTAAAGAGCTATCTTCTCATGATTTTGTGACTCATCTACTGTATTCCAATCACAT